GTGAAAGTGGTGGGGTGAGACCCTTTGTCCAGGGTGGGACACACACACACATGTTTTCTCGATCACAACTGCTTTGGCACCATTGGTGAAGCCACTTCATGTTTTGCACTCGAAAAGCTTGCCAACAGAGGTTGAAGGACCCTATAGACTATCCCATAAGCACCCCAGGAGGGTCCTAGTTCAGGTCACTTGACCTCTTTTGGTAGGCTTTCAGTGGATCGAATTGACCTCACTGGTGTGGACGTGGTCTACCAGCGCTCTTGGAGCACCTTGAACCTCGAGGAGACCGGGAGAGTCGATCGAGAGGAGTCCGATGGTCTGGCCGAGAGGGGGTCCGGTGGGTGTCATTTGTTCTGGGGTCAACAGATGACAACAACTGATTTATACTACCTCCTAGTGACAAAGGAGTACCCGCCTGCTCTTCCCAAGCGATCAGACGCCATAAATCCTATGTCATCAGAACCTAGTATAAGTATATCAATTAACTCCCAATTGGCCAGTGCTTGATGATTTCTTTCCTCTTCGACATTTAGCACACTGTGATGTGCACACTGTGAGAGATCGGTACATTGTGAGAGCTCTGGCAGCTTGTGGGGCGAACACCTGCACGGTTTTCCCACCCGGCCGCGAGAAGCGCTGTTTCTCTTCGACATAAGGAGCTGATGAAGCGGTTGGGTGCTGGTGAGGGTGGTGGAGCTGCTGCGGCCCCTCGCGGCTCCCACTCTTGGCACCTGGATCTGCAAGTGCACCAGGCGCCGGGCTCTCACCCGGTCGAAAGTCGTGCGATGTGTGTGGCGAAACACCATTTGTGTCGCCGTTCCAATCGGAGACACATGCCCAGGGCGTGAGGAGTTCCAATCCGATGAACATCAGCATAGCACCTTTGAAAGAGATTTGCTTCATGTGAAAATGATTGAGAAGGGACTTTTGGTAATTGGATTTTTTGGCTAATCCCTTCTAAGGTGGCTCACCTTCTCTGAACACCAGAACACAAAAACCAGCGAGTTGGCACTACCCATCCCCCATCCCACACGAGAGGCCACGGCATGGCCGTTCTTCGTTTTGCGCGTTCTCCGGTTCGCTCAAACGCCGCGCGCGGAAAAACCAGCACCGCGGCATCGACAAAGACGATTGCCGTTGCATCGAAAGCCGATCTTCGCCAGGTGAACACGTCCGATGTCTGGGTTCACGTCTCGTGGCAAGCAGAAGGTCTTTTTGAGGACCTGAGAAGGGACCTGACCGATATATGTTTATATAAGAAAGCCAAATCAGAGATAGCTTCTTGTTACGAACATAGCGACTCTAGCCCTTGTTACTAGATTCACGATGCACTTGTTACTATGCAGAAAGGACACGTCCGTCTCGGCTTTGGACCCTTGGAAGCTTTGTCCTCGTGGCATGCCGGTGGCATGCCGATGGCTTGACCCAACACGGCCGGCAGAACGCGATCAGCTCCGTGAGCTCCGTGAGCTCCGTGGTGGTCACAGCCAGTTTGCAGAATGAAGGATCGTTTGTCTTGGGGTTTGGAAGCCCCTGGCGGTTCCGGCCTTTCTCCGTGTTCCCAACGTGCTTGGTCAGGTTTCGTTGGGTTTCGACCCATTTGCAGCTCCTCTCTGGTGGGTTTGACAGAGGAGTCGCTTGAACACCTGGTACACCTGGTACACGTCGGGTCCTGTCAGGTCATGGTAAGAAGCACTCAAAAGCCCCGATGGGATGCAGGATCCGAGCAGAGCTCAGTCGATAAAACAACGCCCCACCACTGGCTGGGACCAACTGGCTGGGACTCATACGTAGAGAATCGGATTAGACCTGCTTTGACTGGTCTAGAACTTGGAGTTTTACGTGCTTGGGTCGTTGGGACAAAACCTGGCACCATTGGACACCAAAGGTTGAAGGGCCTTGTTGAGCTTCTGACTTCGGCAGGGCCTCATGACATCACTAAGTTTCCTTTAAGGACTCACAGCGGACTCGTCTTTGCCAAGTAGTGATACAAACTGGGCACACGCTGACATGGAATGGGGAATTGCTGCCCAAGCAGTCCAGTTTCCTTTATTTTTGACAGACTCTTTACATGGTTGTCCTGAATCATCCTTAATGACTCTTGACTCACAACTCGTCGTCCCACGCGCGTCCCAGCCTCGGCCGTTGCGCTTCTGCCCAGGCAGACGTCTATCCGATGACCTCTGGAGTCTCGCTGGCCGTGCCCTCGGCTCCTTTCGGCTCAGTTCGGTCGACCCAGGGCGGTCGACCGGTGGACGATGGTCGAGTGACTCGTTTTGGTGTGACTCCGTGACGAGCCTCGTGGAACTGGCGGGTCGAGAACCGCTGGGGCGGACCCCCAGCGCTCTGCCGGAGGGGTCTGGCCAGGTACCCAACCTCGCCTGGAAGGACTTCGAGGAGGAGGTGAAGCCCCGTTCCCACGACGTTTTTCGGCCTGAAGCAGCCAACTGCAGTTCGCACCCCCCCCCAGAAGGGCGGTGGGAGGTGGCCACGGTTTTTCCTGGTGAAAAACAACACTCGTTTTTTGGGGTTTTCGTTTTGGGATTCCGAGAGTTTTGGGATGCCCAGCGTTTTGGTCCCTGTCGATGCCGAGAGTTCAACCGTGGTCGTTTCTATGCACGCCACCGTTTTTCACCTCCTTGGGACCCTGGCACCATCGACCCTCCACGGCGCGAACACGGTCTGAACGGTGTGAACACGGTGCGACCTGGTCTTCGACCATTGGGGCCTTCTGCGTCAGAGCCGAAGAGAGAGCGATTTCCCGAGAGGAGTCGAGCGATTTCGGGTTAGGGCCGCGGTGCGACCTGGTCTTCCTAACGCTTGCGAAGCAAATCACGTAATCAAGGAGTTGCAGACTCGACATCGCCGATGGGTGTGATCGAAGTTGATGGCTGGACCGCACTGGCCAAGAATATGTGGAACCTTTGTGCCTTTATGATCACACAATGCGATTCTGATCGAATCTCTCCTGGGGGATACACTCTGACAAACACACCACATGGAAGTGGGACATGATCCCTTGGATGACTACTTTCATCGACAAACGGGGGGTTGTCCACTTCCATGCTAGTGAGTCGGAGTGTATCACTTTCGCCAGTTATTTTCGCACAGAGCGAGTCCTCCCCCAGCGTATTAAAATGCACGATGACACCGAGGGTGGTTTTGTGGGCTCCATTTCTCCAAACCACTGTGCCGTGGGTGTAGGAAATGATCCACACCCAGTGGCTGGGTGGTTTGCTGTAGTGGTCGTGACCCCGCATGGGAAGACACCGAAGATCATGACCTCTCAGGAAGCCGTAGTGGTCGTGCTGGCCACTGTCCTCAGCAACGCCAAGCGTGTGCTGGGTCTTTGAGCAGGGCAGTCAATGCGTGGGGCAGCCTTTTGATCGCATCCGATGCGGGAGAAGCACTGAGCATATCGAGGGGCTTACTTGTCGTCTCATATAGTTTTTCATTTTCTTCTTGACCAGCCTCCGGAGTTCGCCGCGTGTCTCAACCGGTGGCTCAGACGAGTTTGCAAGGACTCTAGGGAGTCCCCCTTTGAGGGGTGGCAGAAAAGGAGTAGCTAGCTGTAGCTATACAGACTTTCTGAAAAACCTGGGAAAACAAAAGCTCAATCAGCATCCAATGGAAGTTGACCAATCAAAGTTGACCAACTTTAGACTGGCACCTGTCTTTTGCCGGGGCATAGACGCCTTCAGGCGTCCGTGGGGCTTTCTTTTTCCTGTGTTGAGACCAAGCTGCCAGCAAAGCAGAGTGATGCACACATCACGAGTTGATCGTGGCCACTTGACATGCGGCTGATATATTATCATGCTCAGAACATGATCAATGTGGATTCCCCGCATCGCTCTTCCTCCGCGGAGAACAATAGAACTGGTGTCACCCGACAAAGTGCGGAGATGGACGAAACGGCAAAGCACATCTGGTAAAAGTGATGCACAGCAGGTTGACTGTCTCGTGAACCCTTCGTCGCGTACATGCGTTTCGATTTTTGGGCCTTTCATTCCTGTCTTGTTTTTGTTGTCTCTTCCCTTCGTGAAGGTTTTGACCGTGTCGTTTTCTTTTATCTCCTCATACTTCATCGTTTCTTCTCTTGTCAAACTCACACCTTTACATCCATCCTGCTTCTTGTCCTTGAGCAAGCTGAACCTTGAACTTCGACATCCTTTTACATCCTTTTACCGCCTAGATCTTCCAACTATGCCCAATTTAAGCCGTTTCATCCGTAAAAACTATAGCTCACCGGCAGAATTTTGGCATGGGAAGATCTCGGTCTTGCCGAACGCATCGTCCGGAAGATGCGCTTTCCGATCATCGCACCCTTCCTCCAACGATGGCCATCGATCCGTCGAGCCCGTCGATTGGGAGGCGCTCATCGCCTCATCGCGTTGAGCTTCGCTGGTGCCCGAAGCAGGGCGGGGCGGGGTGGGGTGCCGAACTGGGATCACCGAGCGGGGCGGTTTGGGGCAGTGTTTCGTGTGAGGCTGTTGGGGGGGTGGTTTGGATTCCGGGGTCTGTGAATGGCCTTGGGTGTTGTGGTGTTTGCATGATATATATATATATAACATCTGATTCACCAAAAGATCGCATGGTAATGGCAAGGATGGCCTGTGGGTCGGGTGAGTGGGGTAGGTAGGAGCCGAGTTGAGGAACGTTCATTTCACGTTGACACCGAGCTTTCACCTTTCGGTGTGCGACAGCCAGCGCATACCCTGCATGTTATATCACTTTTTCACACATGTTGCATGCTTGGCTACCTGGTGTTCCGTATCTTCAAGTGTGCAGCATGCAATGCCAGAACATTCCACAGCACGATAACATGAGTTGGATGCTGCGCAACCACATTGGCACACTCTTGTATACTCGCCCGGTGGTGGTTTCACAGGCACATGGCCTTTGCAATGATCATAGTCATGGTTTCACACACACACACAAGAAACCTTTTATGGCTTCACAGTCCACACAACCTTTCATGCTTCCCATGCATCATTGTCATGGTTTCACTGGGACTGATGCCCTCCCCCACAGTCACAGTCCAAACCTTTCCTGCTTGGTCGATCGCCGCAGTGGTCGCTGGTCTTCCGGCGAAGTGGTCGAGTCGAGTCGAGCAGGACTGTCAGTGGACTCGTGACCTGTGTTGTGTTGTGTTCACAGGGCCCTTTTGTTGTGTTCACCCCATGAAACATGCCTGGAAACATGTGTGCAATACAGTTTAGGTTCTTTGCAATACATCTTTTCATTCCGGGACAGGCGACAGGCGACATACGAACGAACACCCTGAACGAACGGTTCCCGGGAACGGTCAATGCACCCTCCCCACGCAGCCGGAGACCGCCTTTTTGCAGATTCATTCAGACTTCAAGGGGACAAACTCCGGCACTTATCCAAACAAAACGCTTCCTATGGCCCTCACTTGTACTCACTGGCACCAACCTTGAAGTCGTCAGAAGCCCAAGCATGATGTCGAACTCCGCCCAACACCCATCGGGTGCAGGTGATTCGCTCGTGGTGCTCCGTCAGGGTCGGGCCCCAAAAGCCAGAATCGTTCCGGTTCCGAACCCCACCATCCAATCCTCGCGTGCCTCGCTGTCAGGCGGCCTGTCGCATCTGCCTGTCACATGGGCCGGGTGACGCGTGCCGACGTCTGACGGCCGCGACGTCGACGCGAAGACGGAGAAGACCCGGGGAGGACCCACTGTAGGGAGCTGAGTCGGTCAAGTCACCTGGTGCGATGCGCATCGGCTCGAACGTATCGGCTGGAGGCTTGAGACAAGGGGCGGGGGTAGAGTTGTTTGGACTTAGACATGTGACACTGGTTGGTGTTTCTATCCTTTGAGTGGGACCGTTTGACTGTGGAGACCAGAGGGTATGAGGAACACTGCGTAAGGGGAGAGTCACAGCTCGAACTCCCTGGCGTCCTTGATGGGCAAATCCCGCACGAATGAACCAGCAGAAATCGAGCCCTATCAAATGCGCCATGGAATCGTCGTAATACGACGCCGTCAGAGCCCACCATTGGGATCCGTCAGAGATGTCATCACTCTCATGGTGGGTCCTCAAGTAGGTTTGCAAACTACCTGGGATGTGCCATGGAAAATAAGCACCCGGCCCTTCCATGATTTGTTGACAATTTTCGAGTAGGGACAGAGAAAACTCTTGCAAGTCTGCATGAGCCAGCCACCAGTTTTTTTGTGCTTCTTTGGAGTAGAAGACACTTGCATGATTTTTGGCAGGTCCCAGGTAGCAAATTCATTCAGTCGACGGGACACTGGGGAGAAACAATCCGCCGCGACGCTGGGACGCTGGGGAAACAGGACACTAGTTTCTAACACCAGAAAGTGCGTGGGTAAACTGACCAGTGACAAGTTGGCATCCACCAGTCATGTTGGTTTCTGCCTAGGCCCACAGACACCGAGGCTCCTAGGCCCTCAGACACTGACAAGATGGCTCCTGCAATCTCCCCAAACGACAACGTGTTTACCAAGGCAGAAAACAGGGGAAGCGGGCTGAGCTCTTTCATCAGTAGTCAAGAAAGCAAATGGTTGGTGGCCCCATCAACATCTCCAATTCTGCCCACTGATGCATAGCTGTGTCTCAGTCCATCAGTCCGGAAATCCGCTCATTGCTGACCATCGGTACTGACCATTTTGTGGTGAAGTCTTTCTCGGTGTCTCTCTCTATTTCTCTCTCCATGTTCCTTTGAACAAAGATTCCTGGAGTCTGGTCGCTCGATGGTGCTCAAGGGTGAGAAAGCCAAGCCATCCTCAAAGCCCGAGCTCGGGGAGCTCGGGGGAGCTTGGTCCCCCGAGCTAAAGTGAATCAGGACTGCCAATCCCGAAATCAGATGTCATTGGAGCAATGGCCCGTGGATTGCCCTGTGTACCAGCAGTCACTGGTGCTGGGTGCGATCGACGGAGGTTAGGGGTGCCCAGAACATCCACCCACTTGGGGACCAAACACCACCTCTTTGTGACTCCTGGTATGTGCTCGGTTTTTCTTTGCCAAATGCTCCACACCTTGGGTGAGAGCTCATGATAGCCTGACGTCTTCCGATCCCCTTGTATAGGGTCATGTTCGGTTCAATTGAATGATCTTGAATGATGCAAGCCGACGAGAGCTGCCGGCCATGCTGCTCTTTTTCGCCGGCCGATTGCACCTTTTTCTCAGTGTGTGGCGAACGAACATGAGAGGAAAACAGGTCCTCGACCGCATGGTCCGTTCTATGAGGAAAACATGAAACCGGGAGGCCGCTCAGAGGGTTTGGTCAGTCCAAAGAATTCAACGTTTTCCCTTGGTCCGACAAGAAATCATACATGCATATAAAAATATATATTTTATATAGAAGTTCCATGAATCATCTGTCAGGAGCTGATCCCAAACATCAATAGATGTTGTCCGGACATTTGCATAGATGATTGCGTGCACATGGCAGTACAAGATGTTTATTTCGTTGGCAGTACAGACCCTGTAGATCCTGAGATTGCAATACCTACCCCCTGCTATCGGCTTGGTCGGCTTGCCGGGATGCCCAGGATGTGTCCGGTTCTTTTCTTGGAACCATGAGGTTTCTTCGCAATGGGAGTGAGAACAAGGAGCATTTCCAGAAAGCATAGAGAACACATGGGAATACCGGATTTTTTTTTGAAACTATATGTACCTTCGTCCCCGAGGGTTAAGAAGCTTCGCACGGTGTTGGTCCCATAGCGTTTTGGCTTACAGGTTCATGCGGTGCGCCTCGTGCCATACCTGGGAAGGTTCACCGACCTGCCAGGTTTGCAGGACCTTGCGGCGCATCCGGGAGCTGATTGAAGGTCAGCTCCTGATTCGGCGCCAAGAGAGTCAGGTGCTCACCGTCCTCCGCGACTGCGCTGGTGCCCTTACGGACTTGGCCGAGGAAGCGGCCCCCATCTTGGCACAAGAGCTTCGAGAAAGCGGACCCGAGGTTGCGACCAAGGAGGCAGTTGACGGAGAGCCGCTGGCCCCTGGCGTGGACGAGAAGGACAAGGACGAGCCCAAGAAGGAGACAGTTGAGGTGAAGAAGGAGGACCAAGGTGAGCAACAGTTGAACAAGGAGCCACTCGTGACCGTCCCCATGCGGCAGAGTCGAAGGAAGGAAAGAAGGATCAGCCTCAGGAGAAGCGCAAGAGGAGGCGGAAGCATAAGGCGGGCACAAGCTCGAAGAGAGAAGGCAAGAAGAGTCGCAGAGAGAAGAAGAAGAAAGAGAAGGAAGAGGAGCCCAAGGCAGAAGTTGGCCGCCAGGAGCCCACTCCCATTTTAGCCAAAGGTTCGAGCGCCAGGGGTCTCGACCCCACCCCCCAGGATCTCGAGAGAGATCCCTCGAGGTACGGCCTACGACCAGCTGTGTGGGGAACTGTCGCCAAGCATTTCAACCCACCGTTGCCACCGCCGCCACCCGCTCCTCGCTACCCTGCCGAGCCCAGTTACCCCCCACCTCATCACCAGGGTAACTCGACAGGTCGGGAGCGAAGCAGTTGGAGGAGACCACGATCGAGGTCACCAAGAAGGACGGACGGTCAACCCCGTCGAAGGGGTTCGAAGGGAGTCAAGCATCGGGAGAGAGGCCGTTATTGGCCTCACCGGCGCTAGACTAAACAATGCCACCAAAGGCCAAGGCCAAGGCGAAAGGGAGAGCCATGCGGGCTGTCCCGAAAAGAAGAGTAGTTGCTCGACGACCAGCCCATGCCGATCCAGCAGACCCAGCTCCTGCGGAACGGGAGCTTTGGCACAGAGGAGATTTGGCCCAGTTGAGCAAGCTGGGTGTCGAAGAGGTGACAGCTGGGACTCGTGTGGTGTGTCCCGAAGCCTCATACTTCGGTGCAGCTTGCCAAGTCGCGGGGAGGATCCGAGGAGTCGACATCCAGGACTCAGGGATCCACTTCACCTTGCAGCTGACCGGGACAACATCGGAGAGCTTGCTTCGCCACCACTCCGGGCACCCGGACATGGTCTTGCGGCTACATCGGTGCGAGGAGGCTTGCACTGGGGATCGCATGTCGGAGGACCTCATCCACGTGAAGAAGTTGCGGAAGGTGTTGAGAGAGGACGGAGAAGAAGGATGGGTGAGGAATTTGGAGAAAGTAGAGCCAGCCGACGACGAGCTGGCCGCCTTGAGAGCTCGAGGAGAAGGCTTGGATCCGATCGGGGCACCCGGTCCGGCAGAGAAAGACGAAAAAAGAGAAAAAGAAAAGAAGAAGGAAAGGAGTCCCAGCCGGGGCAAGAAGTCGAAGAAGAGCAAGAAGGAGAAGTCATCGAAGAAGAAAAGGAAGCATCGATCGGTGAGTCGGTCCAAGGGCTCCGTGAAGGCCAAAGCTTCAAAGGAGGAGAAGGCGAAGAAAGTGGCATCGACCTCAAGCTCCACCAGCCCATCGGTGCAGCTGAATGGAAGGCGTCCTCGGGGGGCTGTGACAAAGAGCCTGGAGGCCCTGTTCAGTGGCACTGGACTCGATCCCAAGGAGAAGGTCCGCAGGCGAGTCATGCGGCTCGCAAAGAAGGCCGTGAAGAAGAAGTCGAAAGACAAATCGTCCACGGACAGCAACAGCAGTTCGACCCAGGAGTCCCCCACTGGCCTCGAGGACATGGAGACAGCCTTGTTCGAGGGCGAGAACCGCGTGCAGAGAGTTGCAGACCTTTGTCCGGGGGCCTTGAGCGCCCAAGCGCTGGCCTCTATGAAAGGCAGCTTGTTGCAGGAGATTGGGGCCGAGAACTCCAAGGGCGAGCTGAAGCCAATTGCATTGATGTACCACCGCCAGCAGTTGGCGAGGAAGGCCAGTGGCCCGGTGCTTCGCGAGTTGTTGACACTGGCTCTCTCCATCGACCACCTGTTGAAGGGGCGGCCAGCCCGAGCCTGCGACACACTGCTTCAGAGAATGAAAGCAATAGAGTCGGTGCTCCTCGGGGCACATTGGAGTGTCGCTCAGCGCTTGGAGGTCACTCCGGCAGACTCCCTGGCTATGGCAGGGAGGGAGGAGATGGTCACAGCGCAACGTGCGGCCTACGAGGAGTCGAAAGCCAAACAGCTGGCAGCGCTCCCGGATGGACGTCCAAAGGGCAAGAGCAGCAGCAAAGGCAAGGAGGAGTCCAGGCAGAAGGGCAAGGGCAAGTCGAGCGGCAAGGAGAAGGGGCGGCCGAAGGAGGACTCGGCCACGAAGTGAGCTCCTGTGGACGGGAGCTGGCAGTTGCAGTTGAGTTGAAAAGTATGAGGGAGAGCAGCTCATGCGGCCAGTGCTCAGTGGCTGAACGTGAGCGGGGTCTCCTAGTCGAGGAAGGACCTTTTGTGCCAGCGGCCGTGGTAAATCGGTCAGCTGATGAGGCCATCTTGTTGAAGGCCGCGGATTTGAATTTTCCTCCGAGCCCTCCGCTATTTGAAGCCGTCGAGGGCCAGGCACCGCCAGTGATGGCAAGTCCGCTATCAGGCGAAAAAGACGTTTTTTGCATGGGAGTTCAGGGGCAGGAGATTTCGATGTTGGGTTCGATCGTCCTTCAACAACTTCTGGAGGTACTACCACTTCGCAGCAAGCTCACGGGTGTGGAATCCCCTTCCGACATTTTTCCACTACCCACCTCCAGGTTTCGTCTTGAAGGCCTTTGGCCCAACAAGAGCCCAAGGGTTTTGGATTGGATGGTTTGCATGGTGATTTCTTTGAACTGCTACTGGGGCACATGCTTTGGACATGACGGTGAGGTCACTGACACCCAGGAGATTGTCTTGAATCGTTTGGTCGTGGAGGTCGAGCGGTTCTGTGGTTTGGGGCTTCGGACGGTTGGTATTAATTGGACATCTTTCTTCAAGATTAGAGCCATCGACTATAAAGGAGATGAGGTCAAGGTTGCTAAGTGGATTACTTGGGAGAACATCGCCCCTGCTTTGCCAAAGGAAATTGGAGCAGTACCGTTGGAAGAGGTTTGCTCCTTAGGCTGCCGGGAGTACGTGCTGTCGTTTGACTCGTACATCAAGCCTAAGCATCTTTGGGGAAGCATCAAGAGTCCTAGGGTTATGATTGAAGACCAATACTGGGGGGCAATGTGCACTGGACTGGTATCTTCTGGCATTTGTTGTTACCTCGAGAGCGAGCGGGTTTTCCAAACCGGGAGTGGTCCACTCCTGAACGGCCTTTTTGGCGTATCAAAGGACGACTGGACGGAGGACAACATTGAGATTTGCCGCCTGATTATGAATCTAGTGCCTCTCAATAACATCTGTGAATCGTTGGTGGGAGACGTTGACACTCTACCCTCATGGGGGATGATGAACCCACTGTTTCTTCAACCTGGTGAAAACCTTTTGGTGTCTTCTGAAGATGTGAAGTGTTTCTTTTACACTATGAAGGTGCCAAATGAATGGGTGAAGTTCCTCGCCTTCAACAAAGTTGTACCCCAAGAAGTCCTTCCAAGTCACCTCATTGGACACACGGTCTATTTGGCGTCGAGGGTCCTGCCCATGGGGTTTTTGAACTCCGTCAGCCTCGCCCAGAACGTGCACCGGAACTTGGTGAGTTGGTCTGGGGGGGGAGATGGGCAGGTCAATCGGGGAAGCGAAGAGCTTCGAAAAGACCGGTCGTTCACGGTTGCCAATCCGTGCTGGAGAGTCTACCTCGATAACTATGATCTGCTTGAGAAGGTCTCTGCATCGGGGATGGTTGAGCTCGAGGGTACGGTGCCTCCCGCGGTGTTGGCACCAAGAGCGGAATATGAGAAGTGGGATGTGCCCAGAAATGCTAAGAAGGGTGTTGCGAGGTCGTCGAGGTGTGAACTTCAGGGGGCAACCATCGATGGGATGCTGGGGCTGGCTTTTCCAAAAGAGAGCAAGCTAGAGAAGTACTTCAGTATGGCGTTGGATCTGACCCGCCAAACCAGGGTGTCACAGCGTCAGATGCAGGTGGTCTGCGGGGGGCTCGTCTACTTCTCCATGTTCAGAAGACAGCTTCTGGGTACCCTGAACAGCGTGTGGCGCTTCATAGAGTCCTTCAATGATGTGACCCCCCGTTATCAGCCAGTCCCAACTGAGTGTAAGCTGGAGATACTGCGATTCCTTGGAATGCTGCCACTGGTGCGGATGGATTTTCGGGGTGACGTACACCCTATGGTCACTTGCAGTGATGCCTCAACGACTGGTGGAGGAGTTTGCTGCTCAAAGGGGCTGAGTGACGTGGGAGTCCTAGCGGAGAAAGGTCGCCTTAGAGGTCAGGTCCCATCCCCCTTCGACGATCAGCAGATCTTGGTCATCGGGCTGTTCGATGGAATCGGGGCACTACGTGTTGCAGTGGATCTTCAAGGGATCCACGTTGGCGGTTACATCTCAGTTGAATCAAACAAGCATGCCAACCGCGTGGTTGAGGCGCACTACCCAGGCGTGTTGTGCGTGGACGATGTGGCACAAGTTGATGAGGAGATGGTTCATGGCTGGAGCTTGAGGTTTTCGCAATGCACGCTGGTGATCATTGGCGGAGGACCCCCTTGTCAGGGAGTCTCCGGGCTCAACTCCGACAGACGGGGGGCTTTGAAGGACGCTCGGTCATGTCTGTTCGTCCATGTCAGTCGCATTCGAGAGCTGGTGAAGCGCTATTTCAAGTGGGCGCCCACCCATGCTCTCATGGAGTCCGTCGCCTCCATGGACCGCCAGGATACGATAATCATGTCTGAGGACTTCGGGGGGCCGCCCGTCAGCATTGATGCTGGCAAGATGACTTGGTGCCATCGCCCCAGGCTGTACTGGACTACCTGGGAGTTGGCAGCAGGCCGTGGAGCCGCTATGTCCCGGGGAGCTGAACTCGAGACTTGGGAATTGACGGCTGAGCAGGACGTCCGGGAGGTTTTAGAGCCAGGATGGGTCAAAGTGGATTGCCAGAGGGCTTTCCCCACCTTCACCACAGCCAGGCCGTGCGAGAGGCCGGGGCGCAGACCTGCAGGGCTACATGAATGCCAGCCGTACGAGCTTGCACGTTGGCAGGAAGACCTTCACCGCTTCCCGCCATACCAATACATTGACAAGCACGGCGTGATCAACCGGAAGAACATTGTGCGCGTGCCCTCCGTGGCGGAACGAGAGGTGATCCTAGGGTTTCCCCTTCATTACACGGCACCGTGCTCAGGTAAACATGACCGTAAGGGCTCAAAGTACAGTGACACACGACTCACGCTTCTGGGAAACAGTTGGAGTGTGCCAGTAATTGCTTGGCTTCTCAATCAGCTACTGTGGCCATTGGGTTTCTGTCGGAAGCTTGATCCTCAAGACATTGTGGATCGTTGCAAGCCGGGGGCATCGGAGTCGTTGCAAGGACGGCTGATCCGCCTGCCCCTGTCGCGTACCAAGCCCGGCACGGGTGATCCCTACAGTCTGGCCCGCAAACTGTGCAATCTGGTTTCCCTCAAGGGAGAAGACATTATGTTGACGACGCCCAGCACCCAGCTGGTCAAGTTCCACCGGTTGAGAGCCTCAGTACCGGCTCGCCTCTGGCGATGGCAAGTCGTGTCGGGATGGCGTTGGACCAGAGGACGAGAACACATCAACTGTCTGGAGCTGCGTGCCATCTTGAATTCCTTGCGATGGCGTCTGGAAAAGCAAAAGCACTTTGGTTACCGCATGTTGCACCTAACGGACTCATTGGTTTGTCTCCATGCCCTCACTCGGGGACGCACGAGCTCCAAGAAACTTCGGAGCACGATGTCCCGAATCAACGCTCTGCTCCTGGCATCCTCCTCCCAGATGGTTTGGGGTTACTTGTCGACTGACACCAACCCTGCCGACAAGCCCAGTCGGTGGGGGGGGGCGTGTCAAGACCAAGTTTAGGAATGCCTAAACGTATCCTTGAGGGAGGATCGGAAGCAGAGCGGGCAAAACAGAGACGGCAGTTGGGCAGTTAAGTCTTTAACGGTGCAACCAAGCACTCGAAAGCGGTACAATGCGGCAGTTGATCAGTTTTTGGTTTTCTTACGAGATGAAGGATTGGCTCTCCCCACTTCCCGTGACAAGATGGACCCACTTGTTTGCGACTACCTGGAACATCTCTGGTTTCAGGGAAAAGGACGCGGACTTGCATGTGATACGCTCGCCGGACTGCAAGACTTGCAGCCGGGCCTACGACATCGTCTTCCGGCAGCCTGGCGGCTCCTGAAAGCATGGCACCAAAACGCGATCCCAAGTCGTGCTCCGCCCTTAGCAGAACATATCCTCCACGCGATGGTCGGATGGGCAATTTTTAAAGGATGGATCTCTTTCGCCATGTCACTCCTCATTGGTTTCTATGCCATGTTGAGGACGGGTGAAATCCTCGGACTCCTGTCCTCCCACATTGAATGCGGACCCCATGCTTTGCAAGCCCTCGTGAGCTTGGGTCTCACTAAGGGTGGTAAACGCCATGGAGCGTCTGAGAGTGTCGTGCTGGGATACGAGCCTGTCGTGAAGCTGTTGCGCCTTTGGAAGAAGCGTGCTTCCCCGAGCACACCTTTGACCCCTTCTCCAGCCAAGTGGAGACACCTGTTCAACCAATGCCTAGAGGGGCTGGGCATTTCTGAGATGGGCTTTCGACCCTACTCCCTGAGAAGGGGAGGAGCAACTTTCTTTTTTCAGAAGCACCAAAGCCTGGATAAAATCCTGGTGCAGGGTAGGTGGCACACCCAAAAAAGTGCCAGAATATACCTGAATGAAGGTTTAGCAGTCCTTGCACAGATGCGACTGCCATCTTCCGATCAAAAATTAAAACCCTGGCTGACCGTGTACAAGAATTTCTTAGCTGCTCCTGTAATATCCACGCTTGAGCCTCCTTGCGGAAG